GTCTGCTTTCACTCGTTTACAGCATCAAAAAACTTTTTACTCAAAGCTCTCTCCTTGTTTTGTTAAAAACCTGGAAAGAGAATAATTAGTCCCTTATATCCAGAAACCACACTAGGGGGGGGGGTTCCGCTGCACCTTTCTATCAAAGGTCTTCTGTCCATTCTGTAGCTGAGAAATAGATAGTTCTCATTAAGCACCTGGAAGTCCGAGGATGTTAGTCTGAACGTCACAGTACATATTACACATTTCATCATGGAATCTAATTGAGATATAGAGAAACGTGCAGCTAAGTTTCCTTGTTGGATGATACTTTGTAATGATAATATTTTTATTAACCCCTTAACTGCCCCGCGGAAAACGTACAAGATTCATTTCCCAGTGCCACGGTTTTTCACACAGGCGCGCGTAGTTATGCGATGTATTAGGGGAAAATAAGGGCAAATTTTACTTTCTAAAAACTGTTTACTTTCACAAAATAAAGAATAAAAGTAAAACAATGAATGCACAAAATTTAATGTTTTAAGTAAAAGTATAATAAAAAGATGTAAGTATAATAAGAATGATGTTTTTATAATAAAAAAGGTCCCTAAAATAGAGTTTCGATGAAGTCATTTTTAGACCAGTAAAGTGTAATATTAGGCTTCAGTGTTATTCCTTGTGAAATCTGTATGCCTAAAAAACATATATTTCTTCCGAACTGGTTGAATGCCATGATTTTGTTCTTGGTTTTTCGTTTGCAAGGTGTTGGCTCATATACTCGCCTACAAAACAATATGAAGCACAATATCAAGTGACAATATGAAGCACGAACAGTAACAATATGAAGCAGGAACAGTTCATCAAAAAAGATAAATGGATTTGAAACATCCGTTATATATTTCTTTATTCCTGCAACCTAGTGCAAAAAGTAAACGAAAACGGAGGACACAGAATAAAAAAAAATACATTTTACTCAAACAACACCAGCCAATACCGCGCAGTCATTACTTTCACCTCTTTAGACACATCCCTCTCTCTAATTTCTCCCCACACTTCTCTGAAATAGTATCGTTCTTCGCATACTTTGTCAAGGTCATTGTGGTGTTGCATTCCAAAGCTTTGCGAATAATTTTGCGGGTAGCAGCACAAAGCAAATGATAGTATTTTGGAAGGGCGTATATATACGTCCGGGGCAGTTAACGCATAGGTTGAGCAAGGCGTATATATACGCCCGCGGCAGTTAAGGGGTTAACTTGCATTTTAGTTGTAATAAGGAAGTAAATTTGAATCCCACCATCAGTTGGTTTGGTTTATTTGATTATGGCAAAGCACTTTAGGGCTATCTGCCTAAGGGGAGTCTTTCTAAGGGAAACTGGCTCATAAACACTACACACGGGGAAAACCACGGAAATACCCATGCAGCCAGCTCGTTCGCAGCATTCTAACCTAGACCGAATCACCAGTGCTCAGCAACTTTACCGCTCGGCCGCTGGTGGACCTCCCGCCATCAAATGATATGGACGGCAAAAAATAATCGCTTTAAATCAATATAATGCTTTTATAAAAATATAATAATAACGTCGAGATATTCTTTGCTTCTGGTTTGATTTTTCATAGAAAGAAATTTCAAAAGCATATTCATGATTAAAATTCTGTTCACCGTAGTACCTAATGAAAATGGAACACTGCGAAATTGCAGACATGTCGGTAACAACATTATAAATCTTCTATGGTGTGATCATAAAAGTGTATCACTATTTTCAGTGCGCCAAAAGCAGGTGGAATCTGAGAGTATGTTTTGAATTTGCGTAATTTTTTGGTTTTTATTACCGAATTTATCAAATAATATATTGGATCCCCCTTCTATTACCGCGTGGCATACGCTTTTCCTTCGTTATTTTCACTCCTGCAGCTAAGAAGACTTTCGGAACTAGTTCTGCAGATTTATGCAACTGAAACTAATTCTTGTTGCTTTAGTATGTCTACACATGTTGGAAACATTGATGAAGCAGTTATCCACAATTTTTACTTAAGTAAATAATAATTTGTGTTTGCCTAATGTATGTAACAAATTTCACATACTTTTATCACCGCTTATGTTTTAAAATTCCCTCTAGTGTTATAATTTGTAGTTGCAAAAATTTTTTGAAGGAAGTTTTGCTTCTTATTAGAGACCGGCGTCACTGAAAAGCGTCACTGAACGATTATATATCATAATGGCAATCCTTATTATAATTCTTAATTTCACATGTTTTGTGGCCGAAGTAATCAAGTTATTTTAAGGTATTTAAAACTTGAACTTTAATAGGTATATCAGAAATTTTAAATTTTGCTACAGAAGAACTATTTGAAAGAACTGTAAATAAATTTCGTTCCGGGCAGCAAATGTAAACTTGCCGGTTCGCGAGTTGAGTGTGAATGTCGTAGAATGTAGTAATAAAGTCGGGTGATTATTTTTTAGGCTTCTTTTCAATTTTGACATCAGGAGCATTTACTGAGCATCGAATTACAAAGATATGGTGAATTTCGATGTCATTCTCTAAACTCTTTTCACCTTCAAGGCGTAGTAGTTGACAAGAATAAATATCGCCGACTAAATTATTCAAATTAAAATGCTCTTTCTGATCGTTAACGTCCAATTCGCATCCTGTAGACTTAATAATAAGTGAAATTTAAGTGACCATTTTTGTAGATAATTCTCATTTATAAAATCTAGAATATTGGTCAGATATTTTAATGATTTATGGGAAAAAATTCCAAGAGTAGAAAATCCAAGCTATCCATCGTACAAGACCGATCATCGGAGTTGGTGTGATACACTTTAAAATTCTTGTATTTCTTCCATTTCGTAATATATTTTGGGTTTAAATTCCCTAAATGAAGCTTTTCATGTTATTTTAGATAATTCTGATAGTCATTCTATTTTTAGAAAGTAGAATTTCCTGTGGTATTTATACTCCCATTGATTCAGTGTTTGTTCAACATGTGAATCTGCTTGAGAGCAATCAATAGTCGCTCATCCACAGCATCCCTGAAACTCATTTCTAGAATGAGGCGGAGTTGGACTCATTTGCTGGAGGGGAGAACTTTCGGAAACATGTTTGTGGTTCCGAAATGGAGAGATTGCAGACGCGTGGTTGGACTCTGCCACCCCCCAGAGATAGAAAGAAGAGGAGCTGTCCTCTCTTGGACTCTCACCGATCGCCGACGACAAGCTCCTCCCCCGAAACCCGGGATGGGCCGCCCTCGACAACAATACTTTCGGGCTCCGCCTCCGCGAGTCGATGGCCCGCTTGAGGTCAGGAGGTCGCCAAGGTTGACGTCACTGAACCCATTGTAAGTACCGTGAAGGCGTGGTGCCTGTCTACCCCCTGATTCTCGTCGCGGTTGGCTAGCGGCCCGAGGCATTGAGTTCTTTTCCAGAGAACTCGTTTTCGGGTGGAGAGGAATTGGTTGAATTGTAGACAACTTTTTTTTTTCCAACCTTCTCCCCCCCGACCCGTTTGTTATTAACAGAGTTCGTTGCTGGTCTAAACCGTGACGGTCCAGAATGTTGCTGTGAAGATAAAGCCGGTAATTACCTCGCTTCTATTCTTTGTTGAATATAGTAGACATTTTTATACTCGCATTTTCACTGAAAATAAGGTCAATAGATATTAAAGCATTCTGCAGAATCTTTCAAGTCAAGATTTTTAAGCTGCTTTCTGTGAGAATTCCGGCGGAATTCAGGAAGAGACGGGTTTATTCTGTTGTCATTAGAAAGACTAAACTTGTATTAATAAGTCTTACTTTAAAATTTAATTTATTAAAGAGAAATGCATTAAATACTGTTTTAAATTTCACATGTGAGGAAAATATTTCTTGTATTTCATACCTCTTTTCTGTGTTTTATAAACGAAACGATATAATGGGCTATTAGAATTTTAAATTATTCTAAGAATTGGGAACATAGTTTTTCCTCCCACGTGGGGGATTAACGTGATGTAAATATTAACCAGTGTGCCGTAGAAAAGCTTCCTTGACGTATCTTTATCAAGGTAGATATCGTTGGAATGCTGTGTTGTGGTTAAAATAGGCAGGTTACTGATATGCTCGCTTCTGCTCCAAAATGCTAGAGATTGGATTAATGGTTTGACGGTGTTATACACCAGTGTGCCTGTACTTGCCACCCTACTCCTAATCGAATAAAATTAAAACTAATTAATACAGAGAAGAAAATAATACGGACGGACCACTTTAGTAATTTATAAGCAAATAGGTGCTGAGCGGTTGATTAGTCCATTACCGTAAAGTACGAATTAAACTGGTTCCACAGATATGCAAAAGTTACATAAGCTGAAACCTGAAAGTATTCTTAAAACTATAACCGAGTACAGCATAGTTACAGTATCTTTTTTAATTAATTGTGGATTTAAGATGGCTTTTGGCCTTTCATGTTATTAGGATCGTAACAGATTAGATTAGATTAACATGAAGATTTGAATTACAGAATTATTTATCCGCCACTGGCACTCATGATATTTTTTGGCTAGATGTTAATAATGCGTTCTTAATTAGACAGTTTAGTTCCCCTTGATTTACGTTGCTTTCTTATGTACAGAGCGTCTGCTACAGATGCGACCAATTAAAATTTATTTCTGTTGGGCATGATAGGAAGGAACCTGTTTTGTACATTGAACCATGAAATGGTACGTTAAAACTAGCATATGGTATTTTGCACAATTATTTCTATTACCTATGTCTTACAGGTCCCTAAGTGATTCATTTCTATTAATTTTTAATTTATCCTCAATTTAGTATGAAATAAATTGCATGCGATTTTCGATAACTGAATTTTCCTTTCCCATATTTGCTGTCTTGATAAATGCTGGGTAATTTAAAACAAATTAATTTGAGCTTTTCATTTCGTTTTCTTGTCAGGCTTCGAGTTATTTCAGCTGCATTTTGTTTCCTTGCTGCATGCTGTTTGCTAGTTGGCTATGTTTTAGGTAGTAACGTAAGATTTCTTTTTCTCTTTCTAGAACTGAAAACGGTTCCGCAGAAATCCAGGAAACAGATGCTGAATCTGAGAAAAAGGTAAGTTAAGATGCCAAAAGCTAAGATTTTTTTAAAATTATTATTTATTTATTTTATAATTATTTTTTTACCTGGATGGCGAAACTTCAGAAATAAATTAAATATATATGAATTTTTTTCCAGATTCCTCAGACGCGATACCTGAACTGTCCTGCTGCTTTTTCTGTGGGCAACTTAAAGAAGTTCGTAGCCTTGAAATACAGTCTTCCACCTGCTTATACGGTACGCATAATATTTTTTTAATTCAATTAGGCCACCGTTAAACTATTCCTAGTGAGTATTTTTCGAATCAGGGATTCGTTTAAAACTTTTTTGCGCAATTGGTATTATTCCATTAAGTGTCCTAAAATTCTTTCGAAAAATGAAATTTGTTGAAAATTTTAATCCTAATGCCCTTAATATATCTTTAATAAATGGCGAGTGCAATTTTTCGTTTGTACTTTGCTCTAAAGTTTCTATTATTTTAGTATCGAATTTATGATTTAGTATTTTACGTTCTGAATATAAAGGATTTAAAATAAATGCAGTATACATATTTCCGTGTCGAATGGGAATCAGCTCGTCCTATCATCTGTAAATGAATAAATTTTTATACCCAAATGTTTCTATAGGAACAATTTAGTAATGTGACAAATCTGGATAAAGTTATTTTTTTACATGACATTGGGTTTTTGTAACATAGTGTTATAATAAACTGTATCGAACAAGAATAAAGCTTTTTTCTTTTTCGTTTTACCTTTAAATCTTCTTCAGCTTAGTATTCCATATACAGATATTTAAATGCCGTATTTACTCGCGTAATAGACGCCCTCACGTAATAGTCGCACCTAGACTTTCGCAATGACAGATTGGCAAAAAAAAGTGCGACTATATTACCCGCGTAAATACGGTAATCAGCTGTTTCATGCAATCCTGTCGGGAAACGGTAAAAGTTTGCTTATCGTCACGGGTTTGGTTAGGTATTTGAATATTGCATGAGGACTATCTGCTTACGTCCAACTTGTTTGGAAAAATAGCTTCCCCTTTCCTTTCCCAACCGATTAGCGATAAGGATTTTGCCAGAATTTCAATATTAGTAACTACGGAAATGATAAGAGTTTATCTTGAAAAATAATTGTAGTGCCAATAGATGGTATTCTATATATTTTATTACCTGGAACTACTAGGAACTGGGCTTGATTACCATTTGGACCTAGGGCTTCAGTTTTTTGGGGGATCTCAATTTTACCTTCTTAAAAGGGGGAATGTGGTTGCTGAGTCTCCTAAAAAAATGCTATGCTTAGGGCAACGCACAGTTTTAATCGGCTGTAAATATGCGCTTTACAATCTTTGTTAATTTGAGTATTTTGGAGGGAAACGGCTGTCTGTACTTGCTTATCAGAGTGTGTTTCGGTTCTTCCTATCAATTCGGAGCTCTTAAAATCTCTTTATTTTTAGAGATTCTCTAATCTAAATCTCTTTATTCTATGGTGTTAATCGTAAAGAAGTTTGTATTTGAAAGTTATTTTCACAACGATTGCGAATAAGCTTTTATTATTATTATTATTAAAATCAAATTCCTCATTCTCCATTATTACTGCTTCTGTATATATGGGGTTCAGCACGGAGTATAAAGATATATACTCCGCGCTAAACCCCATATGTTTATACTCTGAGGGATTTTAGTTTATGTTTTAGCGCCAAGTTCTGTGCGAATTAAAATCTTTCTTTGCAAATTCTGAAGATCGTATTTTGCGCTTATGCCTTCGGCCATGCGTGGCCTGGTGTTAATTTCCCAAGTAAAACGATTGCTAGAGTGCTTGCTGTTGTAAAGGGGAAGGGGGTTGTTACTGAAGACTGCGAAGCAATCAACGGCTGCTGCTGATAGGGGAGATCAAAGGTGAGAGGGGAGACCCTTTGAAAGCGCCAGAGGCCAAACGTGTCTCCCTGTGGGAGCGGTCCTGTCTGTGGAACGCGTGAAATAAAACCTCTTAAAAGAGGGGTCGGCAGCCGAACTTCTGTACAATATATATTTCAAAGGTCGAAGATTAAAGTGCCTGCAACATGTATGTAAATATTTGAACTCGAATGACAAGTCTTGGCTTCGATCATGAACTGCGTCGAGGAACAGAATTGTCGATTTAATGGACACAGTAATTTACAATAGAATTATGAAATTACTAACGTTTCAATGGGATTATATCATTATATGTAGGATATTTATTTGCAATGAATACATTGATTAGCTGTCTACTATAAAATACCTCAGAGTTAACTGAAATGTTATAATTAATAAATTAGAGGATTATAACATTATATTAAGAATAGCAATCAAATTTCATTAATAGTTAAATGCGTTAAACACTGTATATAAAATACGCTGTACATAATCAATATAACGAGCTAGCTATAACTCTTAAGAAATTTTATTTTTAGCGCTATTATTGTGGATTCGGAAGTTAAATGTCAAATATCTGAATGGATTAGCTACTTGTTTTAGACGGGAATTTTACCAGTCTGTTCTGTCTTGTGGACTCCAACAAGCTGATGTCGTTATTCAACGTTTGTTTTGAAATTTTATATGAAAATCATGCAAAGTATTTATTGTAATATTTATATTTATTGGAATGCTCATAATTATCCTGATTGCATGAATAGTTGCACTTAGGTAAGTTTTTGAAATCATACTTGTTGTTTAAAAATGTCGACCTTGGATTAAAAATACGTACTGTTGTTTTTATTGTCGATTATGGATAAAAACCACAAGTATTAATCAAAATTTTAGACTTGGATTAGAATTACCTACCGTACACGCTGTCGATCCTGTGCACTTTCGATTCAATTTTCATATGCCGGTAATTAGTGTCGATCATATGAATAAAGGACTTTAAAGTCCCATCCTTTAGGCAGCGTTTATGATTGCAACCGAGGATCTGAGTTTCATTTTGTTAAACTGAGGATCTGAGACTAATCCATTCAGCTGAGGATGAGTTCATTTGCTGTCTTGCCATTTGGAAGGTGGAATTTTCATATCATTTTGATCATCTAAACATCTAAAAAGCAGATATTCCTAACAATCTTCATATTTTCTCCGTCTTATTGCAGCAATGCTTTATTTATAGCCTGGTCTGCCTTTGGTTTGATTAGATATGATAGAACTTTTTTCGAACTCCCATTCTGATGGGGTGACTGGAGCGTATGACAGGCACTGCAGAAGATACTTGCTATCCGTGATTAAGGCCTCTATCCTACTCGAATTATTAGGTACAGTGGCTGCAAGAGATAAAAAAAAAAAAAAAAAAAAAAAAAAATTCCCCCCCCCCAAAAAAAAAAATATATTCCGAACGTAGTTCCTGGTTGTCATGGTGACGCTCCTACCCCTGCAAAGATGATTTATCGGAAGAAAATGATTCAGGAAAAGGGGAAACATTGCCGAATTCTCCCATTTCATCTCGCGTGGTTAAGAAAAAAATATTTACGTATGATGAAGATAGAGAACATTTCAGAAAAGTGAGTTAATGAATTTCGCTCTTAACTCAGTCTTAGATTTCGTTACTATAATCAGTCGAACATTTTATGATAGAATTAACAAAATGTGAAGTAAATGAATTCTAATCTTGGATTAATGCCTCTTAACTGACTGATAGTCAAATTAGACGTAAAGGCGTCAGTAAAAAGTAGCGAAATCAGTTTCTTTCTGTAAGGAAGCTGCGAATTAGTTTATTAAATTTTGCAGTCATAATCTCTTTCTCATTTTACTCCGTATATTTTAGTTATTTGTAAAAATCATTAGGTTTTAATATAAAATCAGTGCTTTTTGTCAGTAGATGCGAAATAATTCTTGTTATGGTTTTCACGAGTTTAATTAATTTTATTCGTAATAGCAGTGATCTCTGTGAGATAACCATTTATTTCAGTAAAAAGAAAGCATCAATTTGTTACATTTACAACAACAGTAAAAGATTTTCTCTTCCACCCCCAAAAAACTACCTCAATCTGATCATATTTATGTTGCATCCAAAAAAGTAGAAATTTTTACTCAAATAAGTGTTTGTTAGGTTAACTATATATATATATATATATATATATATAAAAGAAAGAAAGAAAGGGCAGTAGATTTTTCTTTATCAATATGATATATTGATAAAGGATGGCATCACAGTGATGTTCTGGCATAATGTGTGTAGAGTCGATGTATAACTTCATTACAGATGGACCTTTGTACTGTGACGCCAGTATACAAATGTTGTTCCTATTTCTTTTCCCCATATTAATTTATTTAGAAGGCAAGGATGAAATAAAATTTTGATTTTATTTCTTAGTTTGTAAGTAATTTTGTCTTAAAGAAGAACTGCGTTGGTACAAAAGTCACCGACATTATAGTGAAGGTTACTCGGTTCAAGTCAGAGAGCATCTTAAATATGACGTGGCACAGCGACACAGCCATTTTCCATCCCCCGTAACTCATTCTCCACTTAAATATAGTCAGAAAAATACAGTTAATGCAGTTAGCTGCTGCTGATATGTAGGAAGCTGTAGGAAAGGGGATTACTTTGTCCAATATTTTGTGATGAAAAGTGGTTATGGCCATTGGGATTTTTCTATTTACAAATGCGCATAGCGTTTCAACTTTATCGGGTCATATTCTTCGTAGGCATTGGAGTCGTGCTGGTCGAACTTTATCCTGTGCTGCATCAATTATAGCTTAAAAAGCGTGTAAAATTCATTCAGGTGCATTCATTTAAGCTACGTGCATATTATGCACTGCACTATTTAGGTATTGGATATTTCATGTATATTTTTCACTGCAAAAATAACTATCAAGGGATTGAGAGCAATCTTATATTAGCTTTTCTACTAAAATATCTCCAAATCATCTTCAGTTGATGAATCAGATACGTTTAAAATCTTTGACATTCCCCTAAATTTCTCTATGCACACATTAATTGCAATCTAGTTGTAGATAACGCTTTCAACTTAGCTTTTCCTGTTTATCGATTTTTCAAGTCATTTTGCCTTCAAAAAGTATGCAGTATTATTTAAGATCTATATCAATCTAGCGTTGCATTTTTTTTTCCTCTAATATTTATTTTTTATATTGATCTCTTCTGTATTGACTCACAAATACTCCTTCCGGGAGTATCCAGGCTTGCAACCACAACTGGAAAACTGTCTTGCGAGAATATCTAGGAATATGACCAGGAAGAGTTAATCTAAAATCTGTAAGAGACTTCAGGACATAATATTACGACTATCACTTATAGCTGAGGTTTGTTCAAGTTTAATGGATTGCACAAAAATGCGAATCTCATAAATATTTCTACTTTCTCTTTATCAGGATACTTCTTCAGGTGCAATTATAGAATGTAATTAAATCAGAGAATATGTGTTCCAATTCGAAGAGAAGGGTAAGAATGATGGTATTCTTAAAAGTGAAGGGGGTTGTATTTGGAATACGTTGCGAATTGGTAGGAAAGAATTTCTGAATAAAAAGAGGTCATCATGGGACGAGAGAAAGTATTACAACTTGCCTCCTGCGTAGGGATTTCCTCTGCTCTTTATAGGGCCTCCCTAGGGTTACTTCACGGGTGGGTAACTCCATTCACTAACGACTTTCTTCTCTTCTCTTCTCCTTTGCCACTCATGCTTCTGGGAAACCTTGTATTGAACGAAAAGAAAAAAAGGGACGAATTCTTGGAGTGCTGCTCCAGTGAGTGATACGTAAAGAAGACGTTGAGGGTTCTTGCCATGAAAATGTCCCATGTGACCGTGAAAAAAAAGGGGGAAATGCAAATCCTACTTTGCTTACTTCCTTTTGCATACAGTGGAATTACAATTTTATGTTTTAGACTGCTTGCTCATTTGGTGTTTGTTTACTAAGGAATGTAGCAAAACCTGCTTAAATTTTTCAAGTTTCCCAAATAAAAACTTTTTAAACAATAACTTCTTAAATCTTTTTTTTTCCAAAATTATGATTAATCATAAAACAGCTAATTAACATTATGAGGTATTTCTTCCGCCTTCCTAGCGGCTACACCTCGAAGGTACGTGGTGTAGTGGTTCTGTATTCCAGAGGTCCGTGGTTCGATTTCCGGTGAAGGCGTTTGCTCATTTTTCATCTTGCCTGCTTCCAAAAAATACCTAATGTCTCTACAACATAGCTGTTTTGCGATTAACCATAAATTTATAACTTCAATAAATATTTGAAAATTAAATCCACGTATTTTTATTTTTACATTGGATTTAAGTAATTTTCATTAAATTTTATTCTCAATTAAATTACTGTTTTAAAACTTAAACTCTTTTAATTTTGATTTCAGCTAAATTATTTGACAATTTAGTTATTAATATTTCATTGAGTTATTGTCAAAATAGAACAGAATTAGCTTCATTTTTATATATTTTTATCTCTTCAAAACTTTTGTTAGTTAAAACGTTAACTACTTCAAAAATATCTGATGTCTCAGAAACAGACGTAGCATTTTGAAAGAGACAGAAAAAATGGACTAGCATTCTTTTCCCACTCTTAAGTGGTTCCACTTTACCTTATTACAGATCGTAAAATAGTTGAAAGAAAATGGACCGAAAGTTAGAGGTTTTTCTCGCCATCTTCGGTGGTTAATTCAGCTAGGGATCTTGTTGACCATTATGGTAACAAGTAATACATGGTTAGAAGCAATAACAACAGTAGAAAAAAAGCAACCACTGTTCTAAGAACAAGAGTTATGATTCCAGTTTCAAGTTCAAAAAACATGTAATAAGAGTTTCTTTAAAAGAAAAAAAAAAAAAAAAATATTTTCTGAAGGTAAAGGCTTTCAAAAGATCAGTGCAGAATGGCTGGATTTTTCAACATAAAATATTTCATCTTATTTTTATTTCGATAATAATCGAAATAAGAAAACATTTGAAACTCTGTGCGGCAAAGTTTTTAAGCGAGTTTTACTATATTTAATGATGTTTATTTCAATGCATAAATTATCACATACTCCTCTATTGTTACTTTCCTATTCCCAACGCTTTGAAGAGGTGAATTACCAGCGTTCTTTAAGAATTCAGTTTCTGGGTTATTTTCTGAAGGTACCATTACCTCGCTGTGACGTGTACTTTTTCCCATTTCTAATTAAATTAATTGTTTTAAACAGTCTGAAATCACTTCTTGAGAAGGATTTTAGATGTTAATAGTAGGATCGGATTCTTTTGTGTTCTCACGAGAAGAAATTTTCTTCCTCATGTTGCTAGTCAATAATGCTTGTAATTCTTCATTTGTAATATTGCATTAAGAAATATATTTATTGGCCAATTCTTTGCTCATTTATCATTGTTTACGCAATGAAGATTTTTTTGTATTTATGCATCATAAAAATGGAGCGAGATAAATTTAGCTGTCGGTTTTTATTTGACGAAATTCGCGTGCAATTAATTCGTAATGCAAAACCGAATTCATTATGCGGAACATATTTCGGTCCATGTATACATTCGATATATGAGGCATTGCTGTATATAGGATTAAGAAAGTGGTTCATTTTCTTTTAATAAAAACAAACACGTTTTATTAATATCTTTTTTAAATTAAATTACATCCTCAAAAGGCTTAAAAGAGCTGACTGATAATTTTTGTGTCTTACAGGTTGACATCATGTATGCTGATCATGTCTTGAATGATGATTATACATTAATGGACATAGCTTACATTTATGCATGGAAAAGGGTGAGTGTAATTTTCCATATAAAATATTAATATTTTTAATGTATATTTGCAAAGAAAATTTTGGTGTTAATGTCAGTCTGTTAATGTTTTCTAAATAACCTTAGAACATTAAGCACTAATTTTATTAAAATACCTTTAAAGTCTTTTAATTTAATCATGAAATTTTAATTTTTGAGTACGTTAGGTACTGTAATGTAGTGTCTCAATTTACATTTATTATTATACTTTGTTCTCAAATGTTGAACTCCTGCCCAAACTTATTATATCATTTATCTTTTGCTTACATAGGCTGGACCCATGAGATTCCGTTATAGGTTAGCCAAACGCATAGCAAGAAGAATTGGAGTTCAAAGAAGGATTTGCAAACCACAGTCTTCTGTTATCTCTAATGAATCTGAAGTTTCTTCACTAGATTTGAATTCAGAAAATAAAGTAGAAGCCAAAGAAGACCAAGAAAAGATGGAGATCGAGGAGACTGATAGTTGCCATGCCACGGCTGTTAGTGAAGAAGTAAATCAGAATGGTCCAGTTGTTGAAGAAGAAGATGCAGTTTCAGAGATGACAACTGAGTCTTCGGAATCCCCCTCATTAGATGTTGAGAAAATGGAAGTTACAGCTCCATCTGACCTTGTGAATGGTACTAGTCCAAATGAAATTCCTGTTGCTGCCAGCAAATCAGAATCAGTATCCAATGATACTGTTAAAGTAGTTGTTTCTGCAGAGAATACAATCTTATCAACAGCTAATGGTATGAAAGTAAAATTAATCCACCATCCAGAACTAAACCCAAAATCTCGCAACAAGAAGACTGGCAGTAGGAAAGGTGGGAGGAGTTCCCGTTACAAAAGTGCTCCTGTGCATCGTTTTGCTAGACTTGCTCCTTACCCACCTCCAAGTGCAGTAGTACCAGCAACCTGTCCTACTGTGACACAGATAACTGTTGGAAATCTTGTTCCATCTGTGATGAATAGTCTTTCCCCTAATTTAGTGACAGCATTAGTGACTACTACTTCATGCAATGCAGGTAGGAATATCCAACCTACGCAGCCTGCATCGTTCCTTACACAACAGCAGCTTACTCAAACAACTGTAACTTCACATGCAGATAATTTAGTTTCTAATCACTTACCAGAAACTGTGTCTTCCACGGCAGCAAGCTATGTTTTGTCTACTCCATCCTCCACTTCGGTCACAAATACAAGTGATGAACATAGTTCGCAAGTCATTACAGTTCCATCTGTACAGCATTCTGTCAACATTCTTCCTCCAGTTAGCAGTTCCATGTCATCATCATCTGATTTTACAGTAAAGTCAAATTCAGAATCCTCCATTTTGCAAACAGCTTTAAGTGCAGTTGTTTCATCTACGTCTACCACAGTTCCCTCCACGATATCTGAACAGTCAAGTTCCATGAGCATACATGATTCCACTGATCATCTTGTTACAGAATCAGTAACAGTGTCAGCAGTACCTGTGACCTCTTCAGTATTATCAGATATAAATGTATCAGAGACAGTTTTCACATCACCTGTCACATTAATCACAGAGACTGAGCCAACGAGTCCAAAACATATTGAAATTTCAAATCAGATTTCAAGTGTGTCTTCAAACTCTTCAGAACTTTCATCGGTAACAACTGTTCCAAGTACCTCATCTTCTCAAATACAGTTGAGTAATATTAAAATTGCAAGTGCTGAAGTTACACCAAGTATTACTCAATCCATTAACAGTGTAAGTACTAATGGAATATCATCACCTAAAAGTGAAACTCATGTTAAAGATTCATCTTTTTGTAGCTCATACACAGTGGATAAAAAATCATCAGACTCCTTTAAAATAAGTGTTAAAAATTCTATTTCAGCAGAATTTAGTGACAATGATGATCTTGGTTGTCAACCAGATTTAGTGGTTGATGAACAAAAAATGGATAGTTCTGATAATGAAGATGATACAGATGCTGCTCTGCGTAAGAAAATTACTGCAATAGCTGAAAAAGATGATGATGCTGATGCAACAGATGATACAGAAGCAGATAGTGGGAGAGCAAGTGATATAAGCAGTCAAGCTCGCTCAAGTTGTGATGATGACATTGGTTCCCCCATGCCTGTCGTTTCAACCTCTGATTTGGATCGGCATATTACAGCTACAAGTACAGTAACTTCTCATATAAATTCATTTACAGTACCAGTGATAACTACAACACCAGTAACAGTAGCATCATCAGTAACAGAAGAGAAACAAACAAAATCCAATAAAATCAGTAATGTTATTGATAATATCTATCGTAATCATGAGAAAAAAGATAAAATTGGTGCTCTTGACTTGTCAACATGCCAACGAAAACCTGGAGAAACTGCATGCTCTCGACCAAAAACAGTTGCAAATCCAGTTCTGGACATTAAGCATAGACAGCAAGCTTACCTTCCTGCTCCTAATAACAAGCAGCATACTGCCTGTGTTCCAGCACCCAAGCACCCTGTGCTTGGACTAGTATCCCATTTTCATAATCTGATGCCTTCACAAATGCCAATCCATGGAAAATCTCTACATTCATCTGTTCCTTTCCATAATGCAGCTTTGGCATTTCCTAGTCAAAGCAGAGGAACTTCTTCACCTTCCTTAACTCAAGGAAGGTCGACCCCCACCTATAATACTAGCCTTGGTATTGTGCCATCAGTGCCCTCAGCTCACCAAAGTCTGGGACTGCCAAATATGCTCCCATGTATGTCATCTGCAATGATGAACTATCCTAGTCGAGGTAGTATCACACCGAGCATATTGCCAGGACGAACTACTCCTTCTTCCAATCTTTTGAAATGTGTTTCATCTCCTCCTCCAAGTCTAAACAACAGAGGTATTCATCAGAGCAGGCAGACTTCTTCACATAGCCGAAAATCAGATTCGCATCGCACGAAGTCACCGTCACCAAATAACCGGAACAGTGCAATGTTGTCACCCAGTGTCAGCCTGTCCATGCAAGCAGCCTACTCTAAGACTTCATCATCAGATGTGAGATTGTCTCCTCATCATAGGTCTGGTTCTCTTGCAACAAGCCCGAAACAAATAGTGCCAACAAACAGTAACACATCAACCAATTTAGTTCCAACAAACTCAAATTACAAAGTGAATCAGTCATCCACTCCTATTTATAAAAAAGACCCTTATAAAAATTACAACTCTAAATTCAAAGGAAGCAACCTGGCTGTATTCAACCCAGATCCAAATGGGTATCGCCAGAGAATTGTCATAAAGAATCTTAATTTCACTCCTCAGTCACAAAAGTCTTGAACTACGTTTTCTGTTCCATATTTTTTTTAACTGTTTTTCTTGTATAAAATCTGAGTTTTTGGTGAGAAAATTATCTTAAAATAGATGGGGAAATTTAGATTTTGTATTTTTGTATCTGCACCAATATTTAGTACATACACTCACAATGTGCAAGCTTCAAATGCAGATCTCATTAGCACAGTAGACCAAAGAAATCCAACTTGCACACTGTTTTCAGTATTTTTAATTAAAATTCATTTCGTTGAGTAAGTAATACTAGTATATAAGTTCTTTGTGAAGTATTAAAAGTATATGAAATCAAATTCAGATTTTTGCTTAAAAATTCTGTTTTTAGGAAAATATCATGACAATATTCCAAATGTTTGCTTAGTCTAAAAGGGTGAAACTATTTAGCATTTCTTTAATTCTAAAATTATTATTAATATTGATTTATTTAATGACAGATCATAATATGATATTTTTTGATTGATATGTTAGATACTTTATTCAAATTTTGATGAATATTGCAATTTATCTTCTCAAAAAATATAAGCACTTATATACAGCTTTTGTCTAATGTACAATAAGGGCTAAAATCAAAACATGAATTTATCAAAAAATTTTTAAAAGCAATCCCTGAACATTAGAAATATTGTTTGCTGTAACTGAATGTTTGCTTGAAGAGTGCTGTGAATCACATTTAACAAAACAAAAAAGAATTATTTTTGTTAAAATGTCTTTCATGTGTAATTGATCATTTAATGTGAAATGTAAATTTTTGTGTAATTATTTTATAATTTTAAACTTTCGTGTAAATTTTGTTTACTGAATCTAATTCCATTTAAGTACCTGTGCTTCAATATGGAATTTCTCAAATTACAAGTCAATGTGCAGATGTCAACAGTATCAAAATTGTGTATATAGAGAGCTGATGTGTGTTATGCTGTGCAGCAAATGTGTGTTACATCCTATGTGTGTGTGCAGCAGGAAGGGAAATTCTACACCACATTTTTTGAGTGCAATACACCTATCATGCTGCAGATTGCTCTGAAAAAGAAAAAAGGGCTGTACAAAAATTAAGATTCCTGTAATAGTGTAAAATACGTTATCAATGTGTGATGTTTATTGGAACTTCCCATAAAGTACAAAAAAATGAAAAGAGAAAAAAGAAATAATTTGGGCTGGAAAAGTATATCCAAAATACTGGATGTGCTTATGGTATTTTTCCCCATCCTTATGTAAGGACTTGCACACTTTCCACTATTTTTTAATATTTTGTAAATACATTTTAAGAGCAAAAATACAATTTATATGAAAAATAGAACTTGAAGATTGTTAAATATTGAACTGTTTCTGCAGAAGAAAACTTTTTTTGTGTGAATATAGTTATATATTTTAAAAACTAGATGTAAAATATTCAAGATTTTCCATTTTATTTGTTTTCCTTGGGAAACTGGAAGATTCCAGTCGTCAGAAACAGCACCATAAGACATGTATTGCAATTTGAAACACTTTTTACAAGTAGATTTTTTTGCTAACAAATATATTTTGTACTATCTTTATATGCAGTACAACAAATTTTGAATAGTGTAGGATATGTGTTTTACGTAAGTTTCTGCACTGTTATCAAAATTAGTTTTATTATAAACATAAAAGAGTGAACAAAATCAACTGCATTGTTATAGCTATTAATTTACTTTTTAGGTAATACATATAGTATCTCAAGCACTCAACCAATTTATAAGAAGTGAGTTCCACTAGTACTTAAAGAGTTCATGTTATGCTGAGCTTACTTTGGTGTGGCAATTCTGTGCTGAGATTCATATACCAAGAATTATTGTAATTGTATATATGATTCATGTGAAAAATATAAGGTAGTTTTAAAAAACAAACAAACAAAATTTTTTAAAGAATAAAATTGTTTTTATTAAATCCATAGTTCTGGAATATGAAAGATTTTAAAAGATGTATTACACTGAATACCAAATTTCTTATTACTATAGCGCATTATATACCAATCTATGTTATATAGGATTTAAAATAGGTGTATATATTTCTTTCTTATAAGAATGCTGCCAACCTCCCTGTACCTCATCCCCCCAGGTTCACAGTTGACCTCCAAATGCTCCTTGTAAGATATATATATATATGATTTTTAGATCACTTCTTTTAAATCCTATCTTATGTGAAATGTTGAATCACTATTCATTCGTGGGGGGCGCTATAAAAAATAATTTTGATACACGTAAATTGTGCAAATTCTACTTTTTCACGTAATTTTCTTTGTGTCTGATTTTTTTAAACCATTCAAGAGGTCTGTAAAGCATTTTATGAAGAATAAAATAGTATTTGATACATAAATACATGTTTTTAATTTTGCTTTAAAGCTTTAAATGGTACATTACTGGATTTATCCTTACGATTAATTGTTAATTTTATTTTTTATTTTTTATCTTGCTTTAAAAGTGCCCTTCTGATACATTAAAGATTTTTTTTTTCCCTACTAAAGTTTCCTTCAGTATAAAATTTTAAGCAAATTATAAAGTCAAATAAAATTAGCCCCCAATCCCTCGGAAAAAAACATGATGCAAAATTAAGATTTAAAACAATGAAGTAAATATTGAGTTTTTATATTTTAATTCAAAATCGTGTTATAAGTAATTTAAATAATCCTAATGGTGCATTATAATAGGACTTTGGACAGTCTAGAAACCTTGTGAAATGGCGTCACCATGCGGCACAAACATCTCCCGGTTTTTTATATTTCAGAGTTCGCAGACATAATGTACAAAGTCCGTGAAAACATTATTTGCTGTATTTAATTTCTAACTATCGTATTTCTTCGATTATAAAACGTCATCGGTTGCAAAATGCACCTCTTAATTTCAATGCCACCAACGGCAAACTCAAAAAAAAAAAAAAAAAAAAAAAAAAAAAAAAAAAAAAAAAAGGTCCCCATTCTAAAAGAATAATGAAGTAAATAAAATACACAAATACGTATAAAAAGTTTTAAAAAAGTAGTAATTGACTAAGGTAACAGTATTTTTACGTAAATTATTCATTTGGGAAACTTTATTGCTTCACAATAATTCCAAAAAAATCTACGCTTCTGAGATTATCAAGGACGCACCTCATTTTCTAGGATACTTACATATAAAAAAAAGGGAGATTGATTAGATTTGATAAAATACATTATTATCAAATCACTCATAAATGTCTCACTAATTGCTTAAGAACCAAGTTGATTCCTGTGGTTACTGAATAACGTGGATTTGAGCTGCCATTTTCAGCTAATTATATCGGGAAAAGTTTTCTGATTATAAGCCTGGTATCATTCGTATTATTATTAAGATTATTGTGAAAACGTATTGCTCGAAGTAAATGTGCTATGTACGCGCGTTTAGACATCTGAAAAGCTATTGAATAAACCACTGTTTCTGACGACGTTTCTTCCAAAGAGTCTGTTACGTATGTATGTTTTGTATGTATGTGATTCGTGTGTAGTGGGGGGAAATTCCTGATTTTTTTTTTTTTCTCCCGACCACTTCGCACGGAAGGAGATCTGTTGTAGATATTAGTTTAGCTTCGCAGTTGGAGGGAATTTCCTTGCATCCTCGTTACTGCTGCTCCTGTTGTATGCTGAAAATATGAGTGTAAAATATTTACCAATAAATGTAAAGTTTATAGTATAAATGACTCTTGTATTTTTTTTCACTGTTTATACAAATTCAAAATCTCGTCTTTGGTAAGATCTACGGAAGTATTTCTTAGTATTAGCCCTAAGGGCTATTTCGTTTTGACATTTTGCCTTAAAAACTTTAAATGTCGGTTCACTTTTCAAACTGTTGCCACCAAATATTACAACCCTGTATTATATTTAAAGAAATTAAATAATGAAGAACCAGCGTAAATGTATGTATGTTTCTCGCATTGTGATAAAACAACGGTACCTAGAGCCATCCAATTTTGAATGACGTAATCCCTACTGCGAATATAGGAATCTGAAAGCACAAATTTGGAGTTTGTTTTATTATCGATTTCAAATTTTGTAAAACTTTAACGAGTTTTTGATTAACAAACTCAACAATTTCAAACATTGCTATGGCAAAATAGTACAACACACACACACACACAAAAAAAAAAAAAAAAAAAAAAAAATCTCCAGCGCGCGAGTTTGTGTATCACAAATTCTAAAGATATGCTCATTTTAAAATTATTTTGCGATTTCGCTGTTGAACTGAATTTTATGGTTTAAGTGCGAAGAACGTGATATTTAATTAAAGGTAACCCACTAAACGTTAAAAAAGCCCATTTGGACGTAATGTAAAATCTGAAAGCTTTCGTTTTTTTTTAAACAAAACTCCATATATTAGATTATTACTTCATAACCAAGTAAAATCCGCTGTGCGCAAAAATACAGCGACCTTTAGAAAACTATTGTCTGGGCCATTTATTTTCACGAAGAATAATTAATGCAAATGCGATATTCTGCTCGTTCGTTGTAGAAATTCATAACTAATGCATTTGCTAAAAACTATTTTAAAATTAAAAATCAGATTTATCTGGCCTAAAACAATGAGGGGTGTACAAAACTTCAGCAAACCGAAAAATCTCTTGAAAAAACAGTTTGATTTGGTTTATTTTGTTATGGCAAAGCACTCGAGGCTATCTGCCTAAGGGGCGAGATGCTTTCATGGAGAACTTTTTAAGGGAAACTGGTTCCTATACACGTTACACATAGGGAAAACCACAAAAACGCTCCTGCAGCCAGCCATTTCGCCGGAATTCGATCCTCGCCTCGAACTACCAGTGGTCAGCGACTTTACCGCTCCACCGCTGGTGGGCTGTTAAAAAAATGGAGCAAAGATGATAAATAGAAAAGGAACGGGTTTGTTTCTTTTATCGTAAGAAAAATCAACATCCTACATTAGCTTTCACATTTTTTGTTTTGGTGTTTCGTGGAAAATGAAACAAAAAATCATCCACATTCTAATATCCGTTGTGCTTTTTCGTGTAATATTTTTAATTTAAAAAATTTAGTAAAAAGATCCAAAGTTTTCCAGCAGTGATAAAAATGAGTACCAAAATTTAAGGAATAATATTCAACATACAAATTCTGTATTTCTTTCATCTAAACTCATTAAAACATAATAGTTTACAAAATTGTGCAAACATATTTTTTGGCTGTATTAGTGGCGGAGTGAAAAAAACGATGCAATAAAAAAACTGGAGAATACGGTAAATATTTTTTTTATATATAATCCGGTTTTCGGAAACGTTTGTTTTATAAACACGCAGGAAAATACTTAAATTTCTGCTTGGGAGGAGAATACGTTTAACAATGTCATTTATGTTTATAAATAAGCATTTTATAAAGGAACTTGGCTCCTACTTTTTTTTTAACTGAGAATCGTTTTCTAAGTGCGAATGCAATCTGATTTAAAATCTGTCAAATTTATGAAGACAATGAAAAAAGAACTAACAAAGACAATTTACAATAGAATTTTCGTAAGGAAGCGCTGTGTTGAAGTGGTAAAGTATTCAGCGGTAGATAAAAGAATTTTTTGTCGTAAATCCTTATTCCCCGTGCTGATTTCGAGCGGTTTGCTACATAACACGGAGTGTCCCGACATCTAAGGGTCTGCTGAGGGAAAGGGAACAGCCGCTTAAAGGAGGTTCGGGAGTCGTTCTCTATGCAGCTGCATTTCCATAGATAAAATACAAGTCAACGAGTTCCGCTTTCGTGTAGCGTGTAGGCTGCCTTATTAAGAACGATCTACCATTAGTTCAAAAAGAGTTTAAGTTTAGGACAGTGTATAGCAGCAGTTCACTTTCATAGATTTGGACGAAACTAAGTTTAAATTTAAACGCAAGTGTAAACTCTGCAGAAGCATTTAAAACGCATATTACAACTACACAATGATTGTATAAATCCATAACTATAAAGTTTCGATATTACAATATATACAATAACTATATTGTATAACGAAAAATTTTTAAGGAGCTCTTTGTTTTGAAAATTCTTTGTAAAAATCTTTCTAGATATTCGTTTTATAAAGAGTTATATACGAGGGCCATCCAGGAAGTAGATTACGTTTCCGTCTGTGTCCGCTAGGGCGGGGCTAGCGCGGCCATCTTGGGGTCCAGAGCGTTGCGCAGCTCATTCTGCATAGCCGTGCTAGTGAGAGGTTCGTGCTGTGCCTCCGTTCAGATACTGTGACGGTTTGAAATGTCTGCGTTATTGAAAATCCGCGAGCTGCGAGGTGCGCTCAGTAATAAGGTTTCTGACTGCAAAAAACTGTAAACCGATAGAAATCTATCGGCAGCTTCGTGAAGTGTATGGGGACAACATTATCACTGAGGTTTAGTGCGTCAGTGGGTCATAAGATTTCAAAATGGCCGAACCAATGTTACGACGAAAGATCGAAGTGGGAGACCCAGCATAGTGAACCGCCGAACTTCTCGAAAAAGTCGATGCTAAAGTCCGTGAAAATCGAAATTTCACAATAACGGAACTTTCTTTGAGTTTTCCACAAATTTCGCGAAGTTTGTTTGCACGAAATCATCAGCGAAAGCAAGAAGAGGTAACGAAGTGTTGAAGGCGCAGGCGGCCGAATTTTTCGACGAAGGAATTCAAGCTCGTACATCGCTACGATAAATGCCTTAATTTGTATGGTGACTATGTAGAAAAGTAGTATTTGAGTGTGGCTTTCATCTGTATATAATAAAATTTGTTTCCTATACTTTGTTTATTTTTTTATTCCAAAACGTAATCTACTTTCTGGATAGCCCTCGTAAATAAAACGGAACTAGATTTTCATCTAATTTACCAGATATTTCAGTAGTATTATTGCTGATATTTGTCGAAATACAACTATCCAATTTATACTCTTCTCAAAGGAAATTTTAAAATACTTTCAAGGCCCTTATTTTCGCGAGCCTGTCGTAATCGCGAAAATTTAAGCCTCGCGAAATATTTAGTCCAAAGGGATTTGAATCCCGAAGGACTATTAGTTTCGTTTTGGCATTTTGCGTCGGACTCATAAATGTCGGTTCACTTTTCAAACTGTTGCCACAAAATGTTAGAGTCCTGCATTATATTTGAAGAAATTAAATAATGAAAATCTGCATAAATGTATGTATATTTCTCGTATTGTGATAAAACAACGGTACATAGAGTCATCGAATTTTGAATAACGTAATCCTCCAACGAATATGAGCATGTGGAAGACCAAATTTGAAATTTGTTTTTTATGATCGATTTCCCTATTTTTTAAAAACTTTGACGAATTTTTGATTAACAAACTCAAGGATTTCAAAGCGAGCAATGGCAACGTTGTGCAGAAAAAACATTTTTATCTCCAGCGCGTGAGTCTCTGTATCGGAAATTCTAAAGATATGCTCGTTTTAAAACTATTTTGCGATATTGCTGTTGCACTGGATCTTATGGTTTAAGTGCGAGGAACATGATATTTAATAAAGAAAGGTAACACACAAAATGTTAAAAAACGCCCCTTTGGACGTAATTTAAAATCTGAAACATTTCAGATTTTTTTTTTTTTTTTTTTTTTTTCCCCGCCTCAAATAATAATAAATAAAGAATCAGAAATTTTTCACTTACCCAAAATTTAATGATTTATTGAACAGTGACAAGCTTTTTCTTAACAACTTTCTTTCTTATAACGATTTTTTTGAATAATATACAATTATATTTCTCGAATATAAAACAACAAAATTAATAGAAGGCTTAGAATTCACTTAGAATACTTTTTATCTCATGTTTGGCTTCAATACCGTTAAATACGCGCACAAGCCAAGAAGCGTGAATCGGTTTTAGTCGTGATATTCGCAAGTTCACAGATTCTTTTTCGTCTAGAAATTGAAGATCATTAGAATACCACTCATTCTTGAGCAAACGCTTGAACTCGCCATTTAGATGGGAACGAAGGGGGGGATGAACTTTTCGGACAAGAGGAAGTTTCTTAAAATGCTTTATGCAAAAGATGTGCTTTTGGAATTTTTCAATTTTCTCAACTTTACTTAGGTACTTTTGAAAGTTCTGTTCATATAAAATTCGCGAAATCACCGATATATTCATTTTCGCAAAAATAAGCGCCTTTACAGTACCCAAAAATATTTCTGAAAAACTTTCTTGGAAACTCCCTTTTTTCTTTTTCTTTGTTTCTTCTCTTCTATATACGAAGAATATTAGTTAGCTTGCGACGTGGCTTTGATTAGGGCAGTAACACCTATGCCCTACGTTGCTTTTGAAATACATGATTTATTTTTGTCATTATGCAGTTTCTTCATCGCTCATTATTGGCATACAATACGAGGACAAGCAATTTTCTCATTCAGGAATATATCTTAAAATGAAAGTTGCAAGTCTTGCTTAATGTAATGAAAGGAGCTGTTTGTTAATCTGCGTTAAAGGTGAAGGAAATGAAAATGAAGAAGCTAAAAAATTCATGGAATATTCTGGAAATATTTTAGGATGATTTAAGGAAAATCAAGCAATTTCAACAAGAAAATCATGTTCTGTTTATGTCAGCATTACATTCTGTATTGAATAATTCCTGTAAATTAACGGTTATTGCCTGGTGTAAAGGCTGAATGGCTGAAATTACCATTTCGGACATTCCCGATTCAGGCTTTTTCAAAATTACTGTTCGTGATTTTAATGTGCAGT